AAGTAACCGAATAAGGAATAAGTAACCGAATAAGTAACAGGACTTTTGAATAAGGAATGGGTTATATTTTGTGTTTTTATTGGTATATTTAACAATTTTAGGGTGTCATCTAGATGAAGAGGGGGTGCTAGTATGATGAAACAGGTATTCTAGCATCAAAATCATAAAACAACATAAAAAAGTTGAATAAGTAACCGAATAAGGAATAAGTAACCGAATAAGTAACAGGACTTTTGAATAAGGAATGGGTTATATTTTGTGTTTTTATTGGTATATTTAACAATTTTAGGGTGTCATCTAGATGAAGAGGGGGTGCTAGTATGATGAAACAGGTATTCTAGCATCAAAATCATAAAAAAACATAAAAAAGTTGAATAAGTAACCGAATAAGGAACCGGGAATAAGTAACCAACTTCACATTTGAATAAGTAACCGAATAAGGAATAAGGAACCAGGAATCAACTTCACCGGGGTTTCGAAAGATGATTATAAATTTTAATAAAAAAGGGTACAAAGAAGGAACGTGTACTTTTTCAAAAACATCAAATTGAATGTGGTCTAAATTCCTTTTAATTTTTACCCTTAAAAAAAACTGACAAATCTGTTTCGTCCATTCTAATCTTAAATAACACCTTTCATCGAATTTCGTTTTCAGGCTGTATGACACAAGGATCCAATCTGCGTGCCGGCGGCATTGAGCTGGCTGACACCACCACTGGCACAAGCCGGGACTGCATTCAGCTATGCTGTCAAGACTCCAGTTGCACAGCCCTAAATTGGAACACTGTTAACAATGAATGCAAAACATTTGCCGACGTGAACTCAGCTACGCTGGGTAGCAGTTATGAATACTATTATAGATAAAGATTTTTATGGATAGATAAAATATTGAAACCTCGAGGAGACAATTCTGACGTACGGAGGAAATTGCTTGTATAATACAGACGAATATTATAATAATTTCCTCCGCCAAGGAGGATATGTTTTCACCCCTGTTTGTTTGTTTGTCTGTCATCAACATAACTCAAAAAGTTACGGACCGATTTTGATGAAATTTTCAGGAACTGTCAGAAGTGGGCCAAGGAACAGATGATTAGTTTTTGGCGGTGATTCGGATCAATAATCAATCAATAATACTCAAAAATTGCTGCCTTGGCGGAGGTCAGCGCTCTCGTAGTGTTTTTCTATTGTGATATTGTATGATTGTACGCTTCGTGTGTAGTTCTGCAAGAATCCCCTTGGAAATAGATGTATCCAAAGTTAGTACGATAGGGTGGTCTCTATTTGTACGGCGCGCACTGCACAGCATCTCGGGTCGATGCACATGGAGAGATGTCAACATAATAATATCTGGATATTCAACAAGGCTTAGAGCGTCTACTTTTGTCAGTGATATTGTTCAGAATTTTTAATATAAAAGTACGAAGTAGTCATTTTTTTTTCTTCAATCATCGGCTGGTATTGAGATTGTTGTTTACCTCCAATATTGCGTTGACTCTCTGCAATCTGCTGATGATTTCTTTTACTTATCAACATATATCGGAATATTTTCAATTTACATCTTGTCGAGTATTCGAGATATCAAAAGAATACTTTGTATCTCAAACGCACAACAAGAATAAGTGAATAAATAAATAATTGAGCGGGATGACTCACTTAGAGGAGAGATGAGAATCTGTTGGCCTCGGATTAACATTCCATTTATTATCCATCATTTTGATAGAAGCTCCACCCTCTTTGAAATTCATTTTAAAAGGCAGCTACAGGTTAATGTTTTGGAATGAGTTTATTTCAAGAGAATGTAAGCATTGCATGTATGTGGCCAGTATAAGTCAGAAATTGAGGTCTTTTCGCTACGTAATCGCCCAATTAAACGCAACAATAACGGGCGGCAATCTATTTCGTATATAATCAAAAACACATTAAATAACAATCTATTCATCGCATGATCTCCACGCATTAATACTCTTGATTCTCGTAACTTTCATTCATATGTGCATCCCAACGAAGTTGTTTAGAAAATTGGAAAACGGAATGTGGACCGAACTCATTCCTGGCTAAAATCGTCTTGCTAGTATATAGTATAAAGTATTAATCATAGTTCCATGTTTCTTAACACGCCCAATACAAACTAACCAAGGGCTCGTTCCCAATGAAACTATCGGTCTTCGTAGATAGGTCCAACTCCGAGGGGAATCTCGCTGAATGCAGCCAGATTAACAGATTAAGGGACCATTCCCACATATATTTGGATCGATCTATCACCCTGGTCTGTCAAGCCTAGTAAAACTGTTAGGGGGTAATTATCCTTACTTTAGCTGATTCGGTAGGCGTGACAGACATCTTGAGCTGAAAGCAATTTAGTGTGAACCGACAGGGAGTTAGGTCGATCCACATGGATCGATCTAAGTATGGGAACCCAGTCTTATACTCCTCTTGGCGTTGAGTACAATACAGAAGAGATGGTAATTATACGAGTACGTTGGAAACAAGAGTAGGCGTGTTAATCTGTTAAACTGATTGCATTCAGCAAGAGTCCCCGCAGATCGATCTACGTAGACCGATAGTTTCAGTGAGAATTAGCCCTAAGAGTTATTATGGTCCCAAGAAATTTGCATAGGAAGGGAAGCAAGAACTATCCACAATTGTTCACAACAGAAAGCATATGATGTAGATCATTATTACGGTAAGATGAAGGGCAGTAGGAAGTCAGAAAGCTTTTTGTGTGACCAGGGTATATATATTTTCGATGCAACAAATTCTCAACTATGTCTACGTTTATATTATTGTGGAAATAGAACAATACTCGAAAGCAGATGGAAAAAATGTAAAAAAACTCCAAGAGTAGCAAAGTTGCAACCCTATGTGAGATAAAGCACCGTCGACAGATATAAAGCAATTTTTTTAATATGTGAGCTTATGATGATGATGATGATTGCAATATGGAGGTCAAGCCGGACAGGGGATTAATGAAATCAAGATAATACGCCATAATGGTCCCAGTACAACACACGTACCTTGTGTCGAAGTGATGTCAAGATTATCTAAATTGCTTTGCGACTTTGCTCTTTTTCGCTACGTGAACGCAACGCCCCCAACGTTAATTACCGTTCCTCGCGGTAAATTACATGTCTCGAACCTCTCGCGAGATTTTATGATAGCGTGTTTAACTTCACAGACGCGGAAATGTAGCGTAGTTAGCCTATTGTGTCTTTTCGAAGAGTTTTGCATTGACTGAATCGATGCCACTTCAGTTGAGACATTAAGTGCTTAAGTTGTTTAATATGAACAAAACTGAAAAAAAAAGAGAGTGGTCTAGTTTTTTGTAAGTCTAATTCTAGATGATTTAGATTCGGGTTCAGAATCTGCACGTTAGAACTGACTGAAAAAATAATTTCATCCAATTTTATTTTTATTCTATTGCCATTTAGTTTTATTGGTTAAATCAAATTAAAGTCTATATTATTCTATTTTTATTCATTGTTTCGTGTATCTAAAGACCCTACTTTATTTCATAATATCCTACAGTGCACGTTTTATTTCAATTCATATATGAGACGTATGTACACATGTTCATATATAGATATTCATTAATTCATTTATTAAAAATAAAAATTTTAAAATTAACCCCTTCAGCTATACCACAAAATAATGCCAAATAAACTTTGTATTAATTTAACGAAGACAATTAGGAGTTACGTAAGCAAAATTTGAAGAAAAGCAGCACGGCTGTAATGTAACGGCTCTTGTCAATTTATATACCTATATGTAACTCCGTTTAAATTGTCATGTATTATCTGTAATAAAATACTATATTTCTATGCAAAATATTAAGGAAATCAGTAACACAAGGCATGGTTGTTCATACGCAATGAATACATTAGGAGTGATGATGATAAACGGCAAAAATTAGTGGTCTTTAGTCCTTGAAATCAGACGTTAAATCAGACTGCTAATTATGCTGAACGGGGGCTATCACTGCGGCTCTTGTCTCCGCGACGCGGTGCATATTTTCGCGTGCCAGCGTAACCGCCCCGATAAGCTTTGGATCACGTTTCACTGCACTGCTGTCACGGCTCCATTTCGTCTCGTCGACCTCGGAGAGAGAGGTAAGGGTCGGGTGCTGCAGTGGCTGGCTTGGGAAGGAAGGAAGGACAGAAGGAAAGGAGACGTGCGAGCATCAGACCGGTGCGCCGTTGGGAAACGCGACATTCCGCCGTTTAACCGTGTCTCTTCCACACACACGGTGACCACTGGGTGGTAGGTGGCGATAGTGTCCTTTTCTTTGACCAGCTTGACCAACAGGACTTGGGGCCAGAGACGGCGCTGTTTTATCTATTTTTTGTACCGGCCTGCAGCTGAAAGAACTTGAAATCGAAACCGATTTTTCTCTGTAGAAAATTATTAAATCATAAAAAATCGGCTGTGTTTCAAAATAATATTCCACGACAGACAACATTTGGACATTGAAATTCAGCGGTCATTTTAAAACACACAAGCTGAAAACTCGAATCAAAATGTCGC